GTGCAGGAAGATCAGTGGTTATTGATGCCATTTTTCAAACATTACACAGAATACTGTACTCAAAAGAAGGGATTTGGTACTCTCATTCCTATACTTCATATTTACCTATCCCAGAATTAGTCAATTTGTTTTTTTCAAAGCCCTTATACCTACCAATGTTTATGTATGAAATTTGAGGCCTGTCACTTCAGTGTCTTGGAAACTGTGACCATCTTAATTAATGACACCTCCCTGCTGCAAGTAGTGTTCAAGTGAAAGAATAAGTTTCATACCTTTGACCAGACCTGGATATAGTTGTGACTGTAATGAATAAAATATTTATACAAATGCATGGTTTTATTTTTTGATGTTAATAAAATGATATAAAGTCACATTTGTGTCATTTTTTTTATAAGGGTGGATTATACCCCACAACTTGAAAAAAGTTCCAAAATTTGATAAACCATAGCTAATTAAGCTAAATTGAAAGTTTTTAAAAAGACTGATTCAGAATTTTTTTGAAGCTTATGAGAAGTAAATAATTTAAGACTCTGATATACCAATTGATTCTTATCTAACCCCTCCTGTTGAATAAGTATGTGCAAGAAAGTTTCATCACCCCCTTGTGAATTAGGCACTAAGAGAAATAGCAGGTGCTCCCTATTATATTTGTTAGAAATTAATTTAGACAAGAGCAAGTGGATCCTTTTGATAACAAATTAAAGCTCAGTCTCTGTAGTCTTAAACAGTACTATCCATAAACTACATTATTGAAATTTATGCCTAGAAAAAGAGTATTCAGTTCAATTTTTAAAAAATTAAGAAATGCAATAAGTATTACTTCAAGCCCCAAAATGTACCACACAGTAATAGGCTGGAAAGTTAAAAGATAAAAAATTACCTGCAATGTACAGAAAACTGTCCAACATGTTAATATAATTTGGGTCATTTGTCACCTCCAAGAGAATGACACTTTTGGGTAACTAGCCACCACTTTGGACTGTATGTACCTCAGGAGGCTGAAGAGTAGTTGCAAATGGCGGGAAGCAATAACAAGCTTGCTAGGAGTGACTAGAGGTCGTACCAGGTAATTTGGGCCAACAAAGTACATCAGGTGGATAGTGAGTCTCCGACTTCTTCCTATATAGAGAAAATGCTCATGTGGATCAGGTACCATCCTCTCCCGGTGCCGAGGAAGCTGAAAGTCCTCTACAGTGCTTAAATGGAAATGAATCAGAAAAGTTACTCAAATTAAACATAAGGCATTAATGAAACAGCAATATTTTTCAAGTTTTCTTAAAAATTAATAATTTACATAACTGCTACATAAGCTGAATATTTAAAAAATGGATCCCCCAAGAGTGGGGTACATGTTATACAATATTACATGTAATTACATGTAAATACATGAAGGTCAAATGTAATACATGCAGTTTAAAGCCATTCCAGTAATTCATGAAAAAAATCAGAAGCCTAAGGTCTCAACAATTACGATTTCATCATGTTGAAATTCTGCATGTCTGGTTAGCAAGTCTAAGGGAAGTAACTCTTAAGTACAAAAACTGGAAAGCAGATGAAAATGAGTTACAGAGGGCCACCCTGATGAAACAACAGGCAGCAAGAAAGGGAAAATACAGAACTTTGTAGCTATAACAAAGAAATAACTTAAATAACTAAATAAATAAACTACAAATTCCTCACCCTGCAGTCCAAGGGAAGCAATCCAGAGGATCACACACACTACAAGACATGAGATGTCAAGACAGAAAAATGTGCTCCTTTCACATGACCACCAAAAAAAGGCCCTTTTAAGGATCACCAAAATTATTCGAAAAGATACCGAAAGTGCAAACGTTTTAGAAACTAATTAAAAATGAACACCAGGTCACGGCCCCTACACTTCCATATATGTACACATGTAAAGCACAATATAAAAATACACTCATGTACATACATAATACATAAATATATTCATACAAATATTCATCATAAGAGCAATCTGATGCACTTTCTTAACTTACCTTCCTCCTCTGGTTATGTAAACTGCACAATCCTGTACTAATTTCTACTTTCTTCTCTAACCCCCCCCCTTTACAAAGGACACAATTCACCTCAAACCCCCAAAAAACTCAGTTTTTTGCTATTTTTTCTCTCAGTATGTCTTCAATATTCAAATAAATAGCTAAAAATAACTTTTCATGACTTTCAATTCACTAAACATTGCAAAAGTTGGGGTCTGTATAGGGAAAAGAGTGCTAATTATTTTCCCATAGAACTCTATACAAACCTTTGGCCCTCTCATTACTCTGTTAAAGCTGAACATCGTAAAGAGAATGTGTCCGCCATTTTCGATTGGACTCTCGCTATATCTGAGGACCCCTATATAAAGGGCCTGGCTTAATTAGTAACTGTTCTGTGTAATCAGTCGACACCGGCGTAGACGGACATATGCTAGACAGAACTCTGTAGCGACAAAAATAACTGTAATACTTCTTCTAATGCAGGAAAGTAAGATACCAAAGAAACTTACAATAGTTGTACAGGTCAATGCAGTATACAAAAAAATACAGATACATGTATTATAACTGCAATAAAATGTAAACAAAGGTAATGCAAGATAACCAGCACGAACAAGGGCCACCATTCCACACCGATACCTGTGACAATAAAGCAGTCAGGTGTAACAAATGCGAAGAGTATACCCTGGTGTTGATATCGTAGATAATAATATCAAAAATGGTGTATGCCTATTTACGAGTTGTGTTCAGCTTTAATTCTATTTTAGACAAATCCTTGGCACCATTTAAAAATTTATTCGAAGTGTTTATAAAAAAGCCCGAAAAAAATATAGGGTCCCATGGCATTTATAGGTCAAAATTGCAGTTGTTTACAACTTATAGCGATTGGCAGTAAATGACACTCTGCCAAAAATATCAACCCCCACTCCTACAATCTCTCCTGGTATTTCTATATTTTCTGTAATATTCCTACATTCCATCATTTATTTCAAACATTAATATTTTCTTTAAAATAAAAATAATTACATACCTGAATTCAGCCAATTGGGTAACACACACTATTCAGTACTCTATACTACTTTGTGTAACAAACAAAACCATGTGTACATCTGGGGATTTGGTACTCTCATTCTTATATTGGCACAGATTAGAGAATCTAGATGGTGAATTACCCTTACTTAGTGAGGCTTTTAAATATTCTTAAACACTACACCAAAATGGTGTTACTTCATGGTATTCTTGTATTAACTTCATACCATGATCCCTAGGATGAAAATGAAAATTTGGAAACCTTATTGCACATCCAAAGTACACTATCATTCATCCTCCAAAAGATGATTTGTCTACTGCTTAAAATGTAAGAAGAGTTTAGACAACCAAGGATTTTTGTAGAAAAAACATCATTAATGATCCCCATTTAGCCTCTATGGTGAAAAAACCTTAATGCATATCTACAGGACACCAACAATCATCTTCCAAAAGACGATTTGACTATTGCATAAAATGTAAGAGAAATTCTGGGAAGCAGGTTTTTTTGTAGAAAAACATCATTTTATGACCCCCATTTGACCCCTAGGGTGAAAATGAAAATTCAAAAAACCTTAATGCACATCTACAGGACAGCAGCAATCATCTTCCAAATTTTAAAGATAATTTGGCTATTGCATTGTAAGAGGAGTTCTGGGAACCATGCAGATTTAATTAAAAAAAAACAACATTTTCGACCTTTTAATGACCCCTGAAATGAAATTTAAAATACTGAAACCTTATTGCACATCTACAGGACACCACCAATCATCTTCCTAAAGATGATTTTGCTACTGGGTAAAATATAAGAGGAGTTCAGGGAACCAGGTTTTTGTTAAAAAACAAGTCATTTTTTTTACCCTCATTTAGTCCCCAGGGTAAAATTGATAATTCAAAAACCTTATTGCACATCTACAGGACACCATCTATCATATTCCAAAAGATCAATTGGTTGCTGCTTAAAATAAAGAGTTTGAGGAAGAAGAGAGTGTCACAGACAGATGGACAGACCAGAGTAACAACAATATACCTGAACTTTCTTTAGAAAGTGTGGGTATAATTAGATATAGAACAATAAACAGGTGAGAACTGTGTTTGAGAAGAATTCTCTCTGGTCAAGCAGTCAGATTATATGATTACAAGGATCAATGAGCCCCTTAAAGAATGCAGATATGCAAGGAAAGGACAATCCCCACTCCAAAATAGGTACATGTATTTAGAGGATTGAGACTTGATACACAAGTAGACTATACTAAGATAGATCTTTAGTATGATTAAGTTACACACTTGTAGTTCTGGTCTCATTGGTCTTTAAATTCATAATTTCTGAGAAGGTAGGCATAATATTATTGTGTCTGTAGAGAAGGGGGAAGAAATTAGAAAAAAAAATTGCTGGAATTATTATTGCAATTATTCAAAAAATAATCAGTGACAGCATCTTTTGTCAATCAATGTCATGTAAAAGTGTGACTGCAATGCTTAATATACAGATAGTCATATCATTTGGACTATAAATCTGTGGTTGTTTCATTAAGTGTTGCAACAGTAAATTTCTGTTTTATGATGTTTGATTCATTAAGCAGAATTGCTTCATTGATGGCTTATACAGGTTTTCACTAACAGTATTACCTGTCATAAAACCTTACGGATGTAGTATGATTTACAACCTGGACTTAAAAGTTTGACCATCTTTTCAAAAAATTTAATCCTGGCCATCACTTTTGCAGCAGAATTTAGAAATGCAACTTATATGAGTACTAATGAATATAAACCTTTTTTTTAGTATGAACAGACAAGACATTTACAATATGCCATCAAACATTGAACCCCATCCAAAGAGACTCTGAAAAAGGGGGGGGGGGGGGAGGAGGTAAATACCACAATTCTTTGAATTGTAAAAAGTATACATACCAGTAGAGCTAATGTCTCATGATAGACTTCCTTTTTAATTATACAGTCACTGTTATTTATTTTCAGGTGATAGGTTGGTATAGGTGCAGACACAATAGTTCACCGTATCCTTCCATGAGAGAGCAGTGCATCCACAACAATTTCTTAACGATTTTACCAATTAATCAGCAAGCCAACTTTATTTTCTTACTCATAACTGGGACATCATTTGAGAATCTGGCAACTCACAACTTTGACTTTGATGTTTTGAAATGCAGTAAAAGGTTAGTAAGATAACAGTGTTCCAGCTAGGCATAAATGTTTGTTTTTAGAAACAAATACCGTACAAGTAGAAATTTTAGCGAGGATTCAATTTTGGTATTTTTAGTGAGGTATTGAGATCGCTAAAATTGAATATACTGCTTTGGAGGTAACTGTTGTCTTTCTAGGCATCATTACATCACTAATATTACTTCTCGCTAAAATAAAATACTTATTATTGAGGAAAAATCTCTAAATTTGCATCTTGCTAAAAATTCCACTTATGTGGTAAATAACTTTATTTTATCTCTTACAATGTTCTTTTATTGGTTATAATGCCAATCTTGCAAAGGCTATAGTGTCAATCTTATATGCATAGCATATAAATTTATTTTCCCATCGCAATGAAGATTTTTTTGGAGAAAGGATGTGTAAGCACTTGCATACTTGTTTATAGGCAGCTATGTGGTTGCTTATCAATAAAAGAAAACGTATTTTGTAATACTTTATTGTATAGTTTTATTGATGTTGAATATATTAATCTTCTTCTGGTGTAGGTATGTACTGCCTTTTACAATGAAATAACAACAAACAATTGTTTAGGTTGTTTTGATATGAGTGCATGGTGAGTGTGTTGTACAAAACTGTGCTCTTCTGTGAGAGAAATATTCCACTTTAAAGAGCCGTTGTTAACTCACTTTAGCTTAATTCAAGCTCAATTGAGCTTTTTTGATCACATTTTGTGTCATCCATCTATCTGTTATAAATTTTTCACATTTTTGACTTCTTCTCCAGAACCAGTGGCTAATTTCAATCAAATTTGCAACAAAGCATCCTTGAGTGAAGGGGATTCAAGTTTGTTTAAAATGGCCTCACCCTCTTTTAAGGGGAGGTATTAAAGAGTTAGTGAAAATTTGGTGGCATCTTTTCAAAATAATCTTTTCAAGAACCACTGGACCAAAAAAGTTTGTCTTTTGGCTTTGTTGTTTACTTTCTCTTTACTTGTTTTTTTTTTTAAACCTAAAACTGATGATTTATGTAATTTGATAACATACAGTATTTTGCTTCATTAAGTTGTAAGTAATCAGGATCATCATTGACTATATTTCACTACATAGCTTGAATTACCTATGTACACCGAAGTTGCCAATTACAGGTTTACATTTCCATGATTATTCTCGGTACTTTCCAAGCATGTAGACATTTACTTCTCAACAGCACTTGTACAATCACTATATTTAGCTACATAGCTTGAATTATCTACATGTACAGTGAAGTTGCCAATTAAGGGTTGAGTAACTCTGGGTCATTCATATGTATTTTTCACAGGCACTTGACATTTTAAATCTTTCTCTTTATTAATAAAAACATCCCCATACTATAATAATAACAAGGTACATCACGGTCGCCATCTTGAATTTTTCAGGCAAACTACATGGCCTCAATACGCAAGTTTCAAGATTATCTCCCTTGGCGCACAGAGGGGAGTTTTGTTTCTGCGTAAACCGCGTAAATATTTAGGGTACTATTTGGCTTAGAATCATCAAAATTTGTCAGTTGATATATCTTGGGACCTCGGAGTTGGTTGACTGAAAAGTTGGTCACTGTGACCTACTTTTGAAAATTTATGGCTTTAATTAAATATTTCAGGTACTAATTGGCTTAGAATCATCAAACTTTGTCAGTTGATGCATCTTGGGTCCTTGGAGTAAGACAACTGAAAAGAAGGTCACCTTGACCTACTTTTTAGCTCACCTGAGCTGAAAGCTCAAGTAAGCTTTTCTGATCACCCATTGTCCGTCGTCCGTCCATCCGTCTGTCCGTCCGTCTGTAAACTTTTCACATTTTCAACTTCTTCTCAAGAACCACTGGGCCAATTTTAACCAAACTTGGTACAAAGCATCCTTGGGTGAAGGGGAGTTTAAATTGTTAAAATGAAGGTCCAAGTCCCCTTCAAAGGGGAGATAATCTAGAAAAGACAAAATATGGGTGGGGTCATTAAAAAATCTTCTTCTCAAGAACCACTGGGCCAGAAAAGCTGAAACTTATGTGGAAGCATCCTGGGGTAGTGTAGATTCTAAATTGTTCAAATCATGACCCCCGGGGGTAGGGTGGGGCCACAATAGGGAATCCAACTTTTACATTAAAATATGTAGTAAAAATCTTTAAAAATCTTCTTCTCAAGAACCACTTGGCCAGAAAAGCTGAAACTTATGTGGAAGCATCCTGGGGTAGTGTAGATTCTAAATTGTTCAAATCATGACCCCCGGGGGTAGGGTGAAGCCATAATAGGGAATCCAAGTTTTACATTGAAATATGTAGTAAAAATCTTTAAAAATCTTCTCTTAAGAACCACTGGGCCAGAAAAGCTGAAACTTATGTGGAAGCATCCTGGGGTAGTGTAGATTCTAAATTGTTTAAATCATGACCCCCGGGGGTAGGGCGAAGCCACAATAGGGAATCCAAGTTTTACATTGAAATATATAGGAAAAATCTTTAAAAATTTTCTTCTCCAGAACCACTTGGCCAGAAAAGCTGAAACTTATGTGGAAGCATCCTGGGGTAGTGTAGATTCTAAATTGTTCTAATCTTGACCCCCGGGGGTAGGGCGGGGCCACAATAGGGAATCCAAGTTTTACATTGAAATATGTAGTAAAAAATCTTTAAAAATCTTCTTCTCAAGAACCACTTGGCCAGAGAAGCTGAAACTTATGTGGAAGCATCCTGGGGTAGTGTAGATTCTAATTTTTCAAATCATGACCCTTGGGGGTAGGGCGGGGCCACAATAAGTACTACAAGGGGGATCAGGTGAAAAACAGCAAGGCCAAAGTTTCTCAGGTGAGTGTTGTGGCCCATGGGCCTCTTGTAAAATTTTATTGCTGTATTTAATATTTTCAGGTACTATTTGGCAATTCAAAATTTGTCAGTTGATGCATCTTAGGTACTCGGAGAATGTTGATTGAAAAGTAGGTCACCAAGACCTACTTTTCAATTTACATGACTATAATTAAATATTTCGGGTACTAATTAGCTTAGAATCATCAAACATTGTCAGTTGATGCATCTTGGGTCTTCGGAGTAGGTCGACTGAAAAGTAAGTCACCCTGACATACTTTTGAAAATTTATGGCTTTGATTAAATATTTCAGGTACTAATTGGCTTAGAATCTTCAAATTTTGTCAGTTGATGCATCTTGGGTCCTTGGAGTACAACAACTGAAAAGTAGTTCACTATCACCTACTTTTCAATTTATATGGCTATAATGAAATATTTTCAGGTACTAATTAGCTTAGAATCATCAAACTTTGTCAGTTGATGCATCTTGGGTCCTTGGAATAAGTTGACTGAAATGTAGGTGACTGTGATCTACTTTTGAAATTTCATTGCTTTATTCAAATATTTTTAGGTACTCATTGGCTTAGAATCACCAAACTTTGTCAGTTGATGCATCTTGGGTCCACAGAGTTACAGTACCAACCAGAATCAACCTGACATCCAAGCAGTCCCAGAAAGCAGCCCCCGGGACTGCTCTGGGACCACTGTGGGACTGCTCTAGAAAGCAAACCCAGCAGTCACTGGGACTGCTTTCTGGGACTGCTTTGTTCACCCATGCATGAAAATGATTCTGAGTGACAAGAAAGCCCTGCCCCTTGTGTATTCTAAATTTGCAGGTTTCATTTTGTACAGTAGTTTTGTTTACTTTCAGCAGAGAAGTTGTAAAAGTAAAATTAATCAACAAGGATTTTCCAAACATTTAACAAGACGATTTCACACCATTGTAGTGTAAAATCAATAAGAAAAATTAATTAAATGTTGGTTATAATAAAAGTTGTTTTGCCAGTTTAAAAAAAGAACAGAAGTCAGAAAATGATTTATTTTTAATCCGTGAATTTAAAGTAAATGCAGGTGTTTGAAACTAAACAATTAATTTAATTAATTAAAGCTGTTAAATTATGTACTCAAAGTTTGCATTATTCTGTGTCCTAAAGGAGGAAACAATCACAGCATTTAAGTTTTAGAAAATATTCAAAGCTATATGGTGCACTGGAAAGTAATTATTTTTCAGCTGAAAAGGCAGCTGGGAAAAAAAGAATCTTCAATGCTGTTTTTTTTACCGCTTCAAAATAATAATTTCAATAATTAATTCAAATACAGACAATCTTTTTAACTATGAAATAATCTCCTGTCATATAAACAACGTGAGCAATTATTCGTTGATTTTTCTCCCTGATTAATTTTTAACTTATAAAAAAAGTTTTACTAAATATATAAAATTATATTTCTAAATAGATATGGTTGAAAATATCGAAATTTATTTCTTATTTTCTTTTTGTGTATGTTTGAGGAAAAACTAGATACAAGTAACAACTGCATTGTCTGGCCGATTAAAAGCCATACACAGAGTATAAAATGTGTAAACACCAGGCTAAGTTTTCAATCGCCTTTGAGCATGAGTAGGAGACAGTCCATGCATATTATTTGGGTATCAGTGTCACACATCACTGACCTTGCTGGTCAACAATCTTATGGCATTTATTTCTAAGACTGCCAAACCCTTGTTTTAATAAATATTGTATAGATGTATTTCAGAATTATTTAATTTATAAAATATCTGAGATAGTCACTTGCATGATTTACGTGTACATGCACACTGATGTAAGGGCTCAGGAAATAATAATTATATCGACAAGTCAATGAAAATGATAGCCAGAATATATTAGCAAGCAAAATTTGATGAAGAATTAACTGTCATCAGATTTGTGATATACAGTGTATATTTTCTCAAGATTCAACATCAATAAAAAATGTAAACAGAGTAATATTGGAATCGGCCTTGCTCTATAATTGTAGAATCTTTTTCAAAGTCATTTAATTCTAGTCTAAAAATAAGTCATTAATTTTATTTAGCACATGATTAATTTTCTATTAAAAAAATATATACTTGGTAACCATTATCAGTAAATAAAATTTAATAAACAATGGTTTAATTTGGTTTCAAATTAATATGCTACAGATGTAATTA